AGACAGCCTCGTGTGTGGGGTTGTCTAGTGAACCATCAGACAGGTCAAACAATGATAGTTCTCAGGGAATGTGTCTTTGAAGAAACTCCAACTCTGTTCTGAACTCCCTCCAGTGGTTGTCAGGCTGCTGGTTTGCACTGTAACTATTGGTTATTGGTTTTTGTGGCTACCATAATCTGGAAAGGAGGGGATGGAAACAGGGCAAGTATTAACAATGGCCACTGTTCTGATCAAGATTCAGATTCAGATTCAAGATCCAAGATTAAAACATTTTTCCTGAGTAAATGCTCTCTGGATTGCTGCAAGCCTTTGGTTGATTCTAGAGTTCTGAAAAAGATGATTCTGATAGTTTGAACTGTTTACTTACTACTCTTATGGAGGATTTTTACAAGTCCTTGCTCTATGATTTGAGCTGTTATTATCCCAGGTAACTTCCAAACACAGTTTTAAAGCCATGTGCCCTCAGGCTATGTATAAATAAATAAACTCTAAACAATTACTGACTCCTTTGGCTAATAGATTTCAGTTTTGTAGAGACAACACTGAGCAATTCTGAAACTAACCTGAGTGTATACTAGGGTTGAGTAAGTTTGTAAATATATTGTGGATAATGACAACCAGCTTTGTCATTATTAGAGAAAGGAAAGACTTACATGTCAACAGGACACAGGAGACAGTTTGAGGAGGCTCCCGATGGCCAAATTAAGCACAATTTGAACATCAAAATAAATAATGAAGGGCTTCTATTTCTGACCACTACAGAATAATAGGGGCTGGATTTGCCCCTCTGTATGAAACAACTAGAAAATCAGACAAAATATATAAACAACAGCTTTCAGACAATGGACAATAGGTAGCACAGGAAAACAATGCCTGAGAGAAGAAAAACAAATGAGATGAGCCCTATTCGTACACCAGCTTGCTGCCTGAAGAGGTTTCAAACAATAGTACAGAGGGAAGAACCCCAGAACTCAGTGGCCTTACTGAATTGAAGAGACAGACTTCAGAGTTCAGGCAGGCTACTATGATTGTTGGGAACCGGCCATGGAGGCCCACTGAGCGTTAGGGATCAGGGAGGGCCGTGGACCCCGAGACTGCTAGGATGTGTTCGGGAGCCATTTACCCCATTTTCCTCCCCCTTTTACCATGCAGCACAAGCAATCTAAAGGAACTCTGCTGATCTAAGCTGAAGGCTCTGTGACTGTGACAGGCATGGCTCACTCTAGAAATCCATTGTTCTTGTTTTCCATAAAATTGTGGTTTTGGCTCAGGTATTAGATATAATTCAAATTCAGGTCACATTTGGGAGCCTTTTATACAGTACAAACTTCTTTATAAGATTTAAAAGTATACTTGTAGAATTAGTATATACTTACGGAGATTTGTTTTCAGCTTTTCAATGGTATAAATGACTAACTAGAGTTATCAGAAATGGCCCAGCACAAGGTTTGGGCTGGGCCACATTCCTGAGGGCCCAGCATGTACTTTGGACTGGGTTGCATTCTTTTAGGCTGGCTTAATACAGTTAACTTTAGAAATTTCATTGTCTCCATTTTCTACTATTGTGGTTTTGGCCTTAATACATTTACAGTTTATATTTGGGTTTTATTTTTAGAAGCTTTGCTGCTGATGACCAGCTTTATATATTAGGATTAGGAATTAGAAACTTTCATAGAAATTAGGATAGATATATAGGACTTTAGAATAGCCATTTTGTTAAGAGATTATAATCTATTGTTCCAAAAGATGGCCCACTGTGAACCTTGGACTGGGCCACATCCTGTAGAGCCCAGCGTGATCTTTGGACCGGGCCACGTTCTTTAGGAATTGGCTTAAGCTATAACTAAGAGCTTCCGTAGCATTGTTTAAGTAGTATTAGCATAGAATAGAAAGGTAATAAAGTTTAAGTTAGTCATCATGGGTATTGCATGAGCTTTAAAAGTTATTGATTATCAGAACATCATTAGGCTAGTAGGGATTGTTGCATTGCTTTTTGAAGAGCATTAACTAGCAAAAAGAACAATAAGACCATCTTGGGGTTTGTCCCTCCTCACACCTAACCATCTGGTGGGTGGGGGATGCCCCTCCAGCACCTGGCTTTGTGTTCACGTGAAAGACTTGTGAGACTGCCTGGGTAAATTTGGGGATAAATACCTGCTGTAACTTTCAATAAACGGCTTCTGCTCATTTCACTGAACAGTTGTCCACTTTCTTTCTTTCTCTTTCTTCCTCTTTATATCTATCCTTCCATCTTTCTTTTAATATCTGTCCCTACAGATTCGCTGACGCCACCACGTCTTCCAAGGGACTCCCCAAAACTTGCAGGGGCTGGCCCCCTGCATATGATTAGAACTTGTGAGGCAAAAACACTAGGAAGGAAGGAAATACACATAAAGAAAGTGCTCCAAAGATCTGTAGAAGGATCCTGATTCTTTGGGAGAAGACTGCCCTATGCAATGTGTATGAAGAATCTATACATTGGCCAGAGAAACAACCACTAGTAGAAAGAAATGGAACTATACATAAGTCCAGGGATAATTTGTGTTCTCACCAGCCACAGCAGAAAGATTTCCTAGAATGGAAATGCCTCAAGGAGGCCAAATAATCCCCAAACCAGGATTTCTCAACCTTAGCACTGTTTACATTTCAGGCTGGAAAATTCTTTTTTGTGTATGTACTCTAGAAAACATCGTCCCCACCCCCAGTCTTCGCATATCACTTGCTCCCTGGGGGGAAAAACTCCAAGCTGAAAACCACTGCCGTAGACAAATGGCTGTTATAGTCTCATGCACACACCTCAAAAGGGCAAATCTGAGTCTAAGTAACTTCACTGTACCCCAGAACAAAGTCTGACAGTACTTTCCATGTAACATAATCTAACAGAGAACAAATGCAAACGATTCCCTCTACCTTTTTTAGTGGACCTTAACTTCCTCCAGTTGGGATTAAGAAGTCTCCGGCAGACTTGGGAGTCTGGAGGACAGTGCCCTCAATATCCCGGTTTGGTAAACTCTGAGCAGACCCAGAGACGTGTTTCTTTCACTATTTTTTGGTCCGTTTGAAATACTGTCAAAATAAAAAATTAAAAGAATAAAAGAACAAAAATAAATTATACGTTCAGCACAGCCAAAACAATTTTTCTCTGCATGATCTGTTGAATTCCACTGTTCTAGTTATCTAAATTCTTAAGTTCCTGAAATAAATAGAAATGACTCTTGTAAATTCAGGCTAATCAGATGGCCTTCTTTGCCATCAACAGCGCTAATGTGCAGGAAACATGGATTAGTATTATTTAGTTAACCAAGAACGTTTAATTTCTCCCAGAGTAGCAGAAGTTAAACATCGGAAGAGATTTCAAAAATTCTTTTTTCCTTCTAAACAGCAGAACTGTGATGTATAAAGCAGTCCCTTCCTCAGTGACTCATCTCTTAACCTCTCTGTTTAGCCATCAGCAGAAAGACTCTTTTAATCCTACCTCTTCAAAATTTGTTCTTATAAATTACAAACTATGACTATTCAAAAAATTTTTATAAGCATACATGGTCAAATAACTAGGTAGTTTACATGCTTGATTTAATGAATATATTTATATGCAGTAAAACATAAAACCAGTTTTTGGCTGTGTTGCTACACTTAAGCAATTTGCCTAAGTAAATGAAACATAATTAAGAAATCCAGCGGGGTTCGGTGGCTCAGCCTGTAATCCCGCGCCTTTGGGAGGCTGAGGTGAGTGGATTGCCTGAGCCCGCAGGTTCAAGACCCGCCTGGGGCCGCAAGACCTCATCTCTACAATAAATCAAAAAATTAGCCGGGCGTGGTAGCGCATGCCTGTATTCCGGCTACTCGGAAGGCTGAGGAGGAAGGATCGCAGGAGCCCAGCAGGTCGAGGCTGCGGTGGCCGGAAGCGGACACTGCACTCCAGTCTGGGCGACAGAGTGAGACTCCAACTCAAAAAAAAAAAAAAAAAGGAAATCAAAGAAATCAAAAATTGTCCTGGAAAACTATTTAAGAATAGTCAAAAATTTCTGTGCATGATCACAAGTAATTAAAACTATGATAAAATTAATATTTACTTGCATAACTTGTCTGTACATCCATAATAAAAGTTACTATTTTTAGTTTTGATAATAAGAATAATTTTTAATAAAGGTGAGAGGTGATCTGATCTATTTTAAATAAATATGATTTCTTCTTTTTCCACTATCATTTTTTAAAATTTATTTATTTATTATAAAGATGTGGAGTACAATTCAGGGTTAGGTAGGATTTATTTTTATTTTATTTTATTTTGAGTTGGAGTCTCACTCTTTTGCCCAGACTGGAGTGCAGTGGCCAATCCCGGCCACCGCAGCCTCGACTTGCTGGGTTCCGGCGATCCTTCCACCTCAGTCTTCCAAGTAGCTGAATTACAGGCATGCCCTACCACACCCGGCTGATTTTTTGATTTTATTGTAGAGATGAGGTCTCACTGCCCAGGCAGGTCTCGAACCCACGGGCTCAGGCAATCCACTCACCTCAGCCTCCCAAAGGCGCGGGATTACAGGCTGAGCCACCAAGCCCGGCTAGGTAGGATTTAAACATTGATCATGGAGGTACCCTTGTTGATGAGGTATGCCCCCCCAGCAGTTTCCCTCAACTGCCAGTCCCACCCCCCCTTCCCCTGACAGTTCTCCGCACTGCCAATATTTTCAAGACAAAAAAATAGCTGAATCAGTGAAATATACATTATGATAAACACGCATGAGAAAATCTGAGATCATTATGATACCAAAATTCGTTTATAGAGGAAACAGTATGGGGAATATTATTAAAAATCAATTTAACTACAAATTTTATTTGTAAAAAATGTAAACGTAACTTGAAATTACTTAAAAAATAAAAAAAATTTAAAAAGCATTCTGTAATTCTCTTCCCCAATAGACTCATTCAAGTTTAAATAACAGGCTAATTAAAAATAATAATAATTTTTTAATGGAAAAGTTCACAAAAAGAGGCACTAATCAATCAGCAAATGTAATCTTTTCCCCCTGCAACACAGCAATTTTAGATTGTTGTTTTTTTTGCTTTTTGCTTGCTTCCCATGAAGGACCAAGAGGTAGCTGCAATTGCTGTTTTGTATTTTCAAATCCTCTTTGTGGCTTCTTACTAAACTGATTCTTGATCTGAGGTCCACTCTGTGGAAAACCTAGAAAGAGAAAACAAAATTACTTTAAACTAGCTATATACCCAAAGAGCATACAGGAGAAATAGATTTCATCTTCTGCAAACCAGTGCTTAAAAATTAAATTTTATTTTCTTAAATGCAGTACCTTACAATTTAAAATTGAAGTCCAACAGACAATAATTTGGAATTAAAAATCTACACATGAGCAGTCAATTTTGCTACACATACTTTCTAACCCTTGCAAGTAAATGTTTATCAAGTACCTCATAGTATGTGCTGTGCTGCCTTATTAACAATGACAAAAAGAAAGAAACTTCAGTACAGCTAACGTAAAAGGTCTGAAAACCCAGCATCTTGTATTTTCAAAGGAACATCAATAGCACGGTATCTGTGTATGAAGAAGATGTAGACAAAAAATTCGTGCTAAGACACCGAGTCTGACAATGCTGATGGGATTGATTTATGTTTTAAGGGGCTATAAGTTGGTTCCACTCTCTTCTGTTATTGAACCAAAAGTTGTTGTTGCAAGGTAATTTAATGTCTACTAAAAAAGTATAAAACAAAGTTATTTTTTAGTTATGTTATCCTCCAGATATGAGGGTGACAAACTGTATTCCAGTTCCTACAGGATCTTATATTATGAGGCACTTTTTATGATTTTGAACATATACTGTTCAAGTATTGTTTGAGCAAGATATACTAGCATGAAAAGACATGAGTCGATGCATATTTTGGATGTTTATAAAACTTAACTGATGGAATCAGAAAGAAAAAAATAACAGATTTGTTAATCAGTGCTTGGGGTGTAAAATTTCTCCATTGTAAGTTAGATATAATTGTCAAAAGTCTTTTGAAGACCTCTTTAAAACGCACATGCCATAATGTTTTACATCAAGTATACAGTTTGGGATAACATTTCTAAAACACCATGTAGACAGAAATAAAAATATCCTACATCTTGTACAAATAACATATACTCTAGGAATCTGTTAGATTATTCAAAGAGTAACTCTTATGGTGAAAAGATTAAATAAAACTGTCTCAAGAAAAATAAGATTTAAATAAACAATATTTCTAAATGAATGTATTATTTTATATGTTATATAATTATATGTGTAATTATATGTGTAAATAAACTGATATTTTAAATATAAAAACTAAGCAAAAGAAAAAACACAAAAACCTTTTTACTTGGCTCTTCTCATTGAGAGAAAGGTGGAAGTGCCTTGTATTTATAGTTACCTGATGCTTGCAAATATATTGTAAATGAGGTGTGTTTGCTATGTTTTTTGTCAAACCCTGTATTATTTTCCTTCTAGGTATAAAACCAGAATATATTTTCCATTCTTACTGCAGTTAGGTGAGGCCAATGAAATGTGAGTAAAAGGCCTGGACCATAAACATCTCATATTTGATCTTCTAGCACCGATGAATGAAAATAATTCAAAGGATATACAGGAGGCAGAGACACAATGATGGAATGGGGCAATGAGCAGAGAGATTGATGGATGAGCAATAAATCACTGAGATTTGGTAAATACTTGTTACAGTAGGTGGTCTACTAAGAATAATACTGAAATTGGTACTCTGAAGTATGGTACAGTCATTTTAAGAACACAAAAATTTGTCACTGGCTCAGTTGTTTGGTGGTAGATGGTAAGGAAATGAATACCTAGGACTGAGGGGTGAGCAACCAAAGTGCTACAGAAAAAAACAAACAACCCTATTATAAAATGGGCAAAAGATATGAACAGACACTTCTCAAAGGAAGACATCCGAGCAGCCAACAGGACACATGAAGAAATGTTCAACCTCACTAATCATCAGGGAGATGAAATCAAAACCACACTGAGATACCACCTAACTCCAGTCAGAATGGCAATTATCAATAACTCAAAAAATAACAGCTGCTGAAAAGGGTGTGGCAAAAAGGGAACTCTTCTACATTGTTGGTGGGAGTACAAACTAGTGCAACCTCTGTGGAAAGCAGTGTGGTGATTCTTAAAAGTTCTAAATATCAACCTCCCATATGACCCTGCAATCCCCCTACTGGGAATATACCCTGAAGAACACAAATCACTCTATCAAAAAGATACCTGCACACGTATGTTTATCACAGCATTGTTCACAATAGCAAGAACCTGGAAGCAATCATGCTGTCCATAAAAAGAGGACTGGATTTTTTAAAATGCGGTATATATACACGATGGAATACTATGCAGCCATAAAAAAGAACAAAACCATGAATTTTGCAGCAACCTGGATGGAACTAGAATCTATAATACTGAGTAATCTCTCAAAGAAACAAAGATCTGAGTATCACATGTTCTCAGTCATATAGTGGACCTTGAACATCCAATGTAATACTATAAGAAAATGACTGACAGTGGTGGGAAACTATGGGGGGGGTGCGATTAACAGTACTACATAACTGTATGGGGACGGGGAGACACCTCTTATCAACAAGGGTTCCTGAACGAAGCATATTTGTATACCTAACCCTTAACTGTACCCCATAATATCAAATATAAAATAATCAAAAATTGATTATTTTATAATCAATAAAAATATTGACTATATAAAAAATAAATAAATAAAATAAAAGATGATATATATTTCAAAAAAAAAAAAGAAAGAAATAGGTAAAACTGTTGCCAGTGATAACTTGGGAAGCAGGCCACATACCTTTGGAGTTTGCAGTACAAGGGTAAATGGTTGGAAAGAATAAACTAGTATAGTGTTGACTGTCCTTGACAATGTACCAGGGGAGAAAAAAAAAAGGAACTGACAGAAGAAAGAGTCTAGATATTAGAGAACCTAAGGTTTAGAAAAACTTTTGCCTCCCAAGCAGTAAGATGTAACACTGAGAATGGTTTTAAGAAATACAGGCCCACAGAGACTTAGTCCTGAGCAGAGATAAGAATAAGGCATGACCTTCTCATCCAAACCTGGTCAGTCTTAATGCAGCAGACATTGAATGACAGTGGGGATATGAAAAAAACAAAACAAAAAACAATCAAACATAAATAAGGCAAAGTTTGAGAACCAGGAAAGAAATTTCAGTGTGGTCACTAGGCCATGAACAGACTAACAGAAACAAAAAGGTCAAAAATCCACTAAGTTTTTGAGGAAGAATATAGTGAAAGAAATCAAAAGTCTAGGCTAGAAAAAAACCTCTGATATTAGACTTCAACAAACTCCAGGACCTTATTTTGTACCAGTGACTTGGAAGGTATATTAAATACTCACTTCAGATATGGCCAAGAAACAAAGACCCTCCCAAGAAGGCAGCCGGGGACCCCAAAAGCCATTAAGGAAATTCTTCTCAGAGCCTTCAGAATCTTTGCTTAGCAGAATTTCAGGTAGGGGACCTATTGTGTGCCTTCCATTTTTCCCTGAACTGACCGAGAGTTTTAAATGTGGTTACCTTGGTATATGTTGGTACACCATGATATGTATTTCCTTTTAGTACAAACGTCACCTGACTTTGAGGAGTCCCATTCATGACATCTGATAGAAAACACCGTATCATCACCCAGTGATTCCAGTCTCTGAGCTAGATGTAGTGACTAGATGCAACTTTGGGGTGGTTTTCTTGAGAATGAGGTAAGTATGCTGCTCTATATGTAGGAAGAAACATGAAATTGGCATCTGGTGATAGAAAGGATGGTCAGTGGCAGAAAAAGTGAATGTGCTCAAGAAATTCCACTTCCTATTTTCTTCTAGACATACAGCTAGATGGCATTTCCCAGCTTCTTTGTGGTAAGGGTCATGTGACTGAATACTGGACATGTGAGCAGAACTGATTTCTGCCACTTTCAGGAGAGGCTCATGAAAACCTCCTGCAAAATTCTCCATGTACTCCTTTTTCCTCTATTGGCAAATGGAGAGTATTTAGAATCTGGAGGAGGAAGGGACCAAAAGATGGAAGAAGCCTGGTCCTTGAATGACTGTGGAACAGAGACTTTCCGCTGATTTTCGATAGACTGTGATGTGAATAAGAAAAATAAGCTTTAATTATGTTAAGCCAGAGAAAGTCTGGTACTGTGTGAGAATTCAACTCTCACAAGCAGAGTAAACTTTGATTTCTTATAAATTAATCTGAAAGTACTCTAATTTCATTCTCAACTCAGAGAGTAAAAAACTTGTGACTGAATGTTTAATGGCATGGCATTAAGTGATTAAAGTATAATTGTCTACTTAAAAAAGTATTGATTTAATTCAACATAAGTTAAATAGATATATTTTTTACTAATAAACTTTGTCTAAATCTTTCCCATTGGCAGGACATAGGAAAACAATAAAAACTAATATTGATAATTGCAAGATGCTCTGTTTCCATTTCTGTGGGCACATAATTCATTCAGGCAATATCAAATAACCATAATTTTTCATCCTTCTACTTTGGTAAAACACAGTTTAATTGCAAATGAGGGTTAAGTAGCCTTAATACATACCAAGGGTTTTGCTCTTTGGAGCCTGTTCTTTGTAATCTCTAAAAGAAGAAAAACAGTATTATGATTTTTTTTTTGTTTTTTTGAGTTGGAGTCTCACTCTGCCACCCAGACTGGAGTGCAGTGGCCGCTTCCGGCCACCACAGCCTCGACCTGCTGGGCTCCAGCGATCTTTCCGCCCCAGCCTTCCAAGTAGCCAGAATTACAGGCATGCGCTACCATGCCTGGCTGATTTTTTGATTTATTGTAGAAATGAGGTCTCGCTGCCCAGGCGGGTCTCGAACCTGCGGGCTCAGGCAATCCACTCACCTCAGCCTCCCAAAGGCATGGGATTACAGGCTGAGCCACTGAGCCCGGCTATGATTTTTAAAAGATAAATAAATCCTCTGATCTTAAGAAGATAACATATTAAAATTGATGATAAAACTCATTCAAGGCATATCATACTCTTTCATCCCACCAGCAATCAATAAAATTAGGAAAACTATAGGTTTTAGCTGCATCAAGAGTTGTTAGACTCCAATATCACTATAGACACATAAGATTCTTTTTCTCTCATCAGCCTTACAGAGACTTGCAACTGAAAAATATCCTTGCTTGCAACAGAAAAATATCCTATCTTGGTTATCTTGCCTCTACTCTTGGTGACTATCTAGATAGAGAATTCCTAAAGTTTTCCCATAGAAGAATAAGTCTTGTACAACAAAAATTAAGATCTATATTTAATGGGAAAGGGAAGGGATAGTAGTGTGTTATTTTCAAATGCAGAGGAAAAATATAGCTTTTTGAGGTAGATTTGGAAGCTATAAGTAAATATTTTAATTATTTTTAAGGCTCCAAAGATGTTTTTATGTCTTTTTTATACTCTTACATGTTTGGAAAATTTCTACACCCCATTTTTCTATTCCATTAAATAATATTCCTGCTTTACAAAAATTTACAAAAACTGTTTAGTGAAGAAAACAGCTGTTACTGAAGAAATTAACTAACCATAATCTTCGTTCTAAACTGTGAAGATAACCTCTATCAGATTAGAATTATAAACGAAGTTAAACTTAATGATTTGTAACAGAACAGCTATAAAAAGTGGTGGTTACTAGCAGGGATGGAGACAGCAACATCACCAAATATAAGGTATTCTGGAAAAACCCAGTTTTAAGGTAAGCAGCCTTATACCAGGGGAGACCCCACAAAAAACAGAATCATCTTTTGGAGGGCAGGCCCCTTGTAGTAAAGGCTTTCTCCACTAGGTGTTTTAGAAACCCATCAGCATCAGCGTATCAGCTAGCATTGTTGTGAGAGGCTGTGTTTGGCTTCCGTGAATTTTTTGTGGAGATCTTCCAACGCATTTGCCCACTCTGTGATGGGTGACTTATGAGCGCTCCTGCTCACACCATGCTGAGTGCTCAGCAGTTTTTGACTAGAAATGGCGTGACCCCCGTGCCCACCCTTCCTATTCAACAGCTCTTGCCCCAACGACTTTTTTTTGTTGTTGTTTCCATGATGAAAAAAGTCCTCAAAGGGAAATGTTCTGTTGAAGTGGAAGAGGCAAAACAAAAAACAGCAGAAAAACTATAAGGCATCAAAACTGACATGTTCAAAAACTGTTTGAGCAGTGGAAAAATTGTCTCAATAGGCGTAGTGCATCAAATGGAGAGCACTTTGAAGGTGGCTGAAGTTTAAACATGTAAGAATAGATACACAATTTTTAATAAATAAATTCCAGGTTTTTTTGGATCTCCCCTCATATACTGAAATGGGAGTAGACAGTAAAATGACTGAAGTTTACAAGAATGGTCCTGTGCTATCAAAACAGAAATCAAAAAAACCCATATACTTTTCAGAAAATTTTGTTTATAAAGAGAGATATATAAAATGTTTTCAAACATGGGTCATCAAAAACTAACTCAAAACTTGAAAAACTGAAGGAATAAAACTTAAATTAGATAGGCACATTATTTGGCTACAACGTCTGATTTCCTGATGAAGCTAGACTAATGTGGCAACGCCATATGTATATTTGTATATATTATCCCACTATCAACTTGGAGGGACCAAGTCTAAAAACAGGATGAGCCATACAAACTAGAATTACAGTCTCTTCCCTCATTGTAAGAACATGTAGATATTTCTTATCTTTAAAATATAGCTAATAATTATTTCATAACAGAAAAATAACCTTACCGTCTAGAGCCTTCAGATCCAGATAAAGTGTGAAACAACAGTGACTCTAACTTCCTGGCATCTGTACTTTCCTTATTTTTGTCACTTCTTATATCCCAATGAATTTCATGTGTATCTTCTTTGGGTAACACTTTTTGGAGAGGTTTTTGTTCCTTAACAGGAGAATGACAACTACTATTCTTCTCTCGTGTCTGTCTGACTTTCCCAATGAAGAAGTCATCACCACTATCACTTTCCTCGGACATGGAAGACTGTTTGTAAAACCTTTCTTCTGTGCTATCATCAAAATACTCCTCTTCATGTAATCCTTCTTCGCCATCACTGCTACTACTGGGCGAGCTATCAGACCTTTTCTTTCTTTTGGTTTGACTTACTGTTTTCAGTTTTGAGCCAGCAGAATTCTTCTTGGGTTCAGTGGAAACCACAGGATCATTTTTTGAAGGTTTCAATGGAGAATTTGAAATGTCCACTGCTTTGCGTCCATGTTCCATCTTGCCCATTTTTTTCTTTGAATTATTTATTGGTTTCTTTGCAGATATTTTGGATTCCTTCATTTTTTGCTCACTTCTAATAGTTCCTTCATGACGTAACTTACTTTTATTATCACCTGAACACAACGTATCCTTAGAATGATTTTCTTCTAAGGCATTTTTTAGTGACTCGACTTCAGCAACATTTTATCTTGCATCTTTAAAGACTTGCATAACAGCTGCAGGAAACATAGTGTATGATTTGTTTTAACATTGAAGCATGAAACAATATTGTTTTAGTAGAGTATTTTCAAAATTATTTGAAAACATTTAAGAAGACAATTGGAATTTATATTAGAGCAATAACCTGTGACAAAAGCATTTAACCTTATAAATATATTTCATAATACATACATATATAAATAAAAATATTTGGTTAAACCAAAAGTAATGAGTCATGTACATATGTAGAAAACCAATTGCATTCAAGTTTATCATGCATATATTATATGCAAAAATATATTTATATAATACATATTATATATTAATATATTAGAATTTAGGAAAAAACAGATTTAGTTTTTCTTCAGATATCAGACACTTTCTAGAAATTTACATTCATAATATAAAAAATCCTGAAGAGTGAAAAGGACCATAAAAATTTTTAAAAAATGAATAGCCATTATCCAAAAATCATGCTTTAAGTATATGGCTTTTAGCATGTCTATCTTTTTCTTTAGAATAGCGTGTATTGCTAGCCTGGCAATTGCTCTTTCAGTTGCAGTAGAATTTGACTGCAAATTGAAGGAAATATATGTATGTGAATAAAATAAAGAAAAATAACTTGGCACTATTGGAAGTGAAGAAAGTAAATCCACTATAGCCTTTTAAAATTAGAGTTAGGGGCCAGGTTTGGTGGGTGGCTCAGCCTGTAATCCCAGAGCTTTGGGAGGCCAAGGCGAGTGGATTGTCTGAGCCCCAGGATGTGAGCCACCTGGGCAACTTGGCGGGGCCTTGTCTCTACAATAAATCAAAAACTAGCCAGGCAAGGTAGCGCGCCTGTAGTTCCAGCTACTTGGAAGGCTGAGGCGGAAATATCGCCGGAGCCCAGCAGGTCGAGACTGTGGTGGCTGGGAGCGTGCCACTGCACTCCAGTCTGGGTGATGGAGTGAAACACCAACTCAAAAAAAAAAAAAATAGAGTTAGGGACCAGAATTTGATAATATTCTCAATTAATAAATATTCTTTGGATACTTAATGTTTCCAGAATTGTGACAAGTATCATGTATAATATGTTCATATATTTTAAAGTAACACAGCTTTTGCTTTCAAAGTGGTTGTCAACTAATTAAGAAAACTAAATTAATATAAAAGAATCAGATGGCATATTTATTTGCCAAGTTGAGTGATACAAACAATTTATGACTACTGTAATATTTGAAGCAATATTTAATGGAAAACCTAGAAATTATTTAATGCTATGTATTTATATTTGAATGTATACTTTCACTGCTGTATTTTTAGGATCTAACACAGTGCCTAGATTACAGTCAACACTTTAGAAATATTTGATAACTGAATGAGAACAGATTATATGTATTTACTATATTTATAAATTTGGAAACTTCAAACCTCATAATACAGGCTAATTGCTTTAAATGTTATACATAGGCTGAAAAGTTATGAATTTCTACCTCTGGCTCCAACTTGAGCTCTGGACTACTATATTCAACCATTTAACTTGACATCTATTTGATATATCAAAACATAATTCTTTGATTTTCCTCTCAAATCTGCTTTACCTGTAGCTTTTCCATATTATTTATGTAATTTCCATTGTTCTGGTTGCTCAGGCCTAAAACTCTAAGGATTCTTCCACAATATTTCTTTTCCCCTCATATCTCACAATAAATTTCTCAGTAAATCCTGTGGTTCCAAATACAAAATATATCTTGAACCAGTCACTTCTCACCATTTCTACTCTTACTACCTTTGACCAAATCACCAACACCTCTCACTGGACCAACGTAAGCTCATATCTGTTCACTCTTCATTGCGTATTGCTCTCTCAACAGTCTATTTTCTATATAGCAGCCACAGTGATATTTAAAAATGCAATCAGATCATACTATTTCCAAATCTGTTCTTTAAGCTTTATTGTCTTCTGATGCTCAGGCCATTCCAATGCAATCTGTTCTCTACCTGGACTACTCCTCCCAAATATATACACGACTGACCATCTCTCACTATGTTCAGGTCTCTGATCAAATGTCATCTCAGCTAGCAGGACACCTTTCATCACTCTGTATTTACTTCTCATCTCTTAACACTGCATGCCAGTGCAGATATGTTCGTATCTATGTCAGAGACTTTGCTTACCCCACTGCTGGAGATTCAGTGCCTAGAATAGTGACTAGTAAAGGTAAGCACTCAAAAATGCATTTAATAAAGCAAGTGAATGAATTTCACTCGTGTGTGCAAGTAGAGCAACCAGCTTCAAATGTTTCTATTCTAAATGTATCCTTCATGGCTACTAGACAAATATAAGACGCTTCCCTCTTTCACCCAGTAATACAAATGTATGGTTACCTAAATAAAAGTAACATAATGACAGTTTGTCATCTATTCTTTTTGGGGGACTTATTTTAGTAACATCACTCAAATGATAACTTATTTAATTTTACCTGATGCAAGTCCTATGCCAGGACCACCTCCTATATATCTATGTACTAGGTTGAATAGTGTCCCTCCAAAATTCATGTCTGCCTGAGGACTCAAAATGTGAATTTATTTGGAAACAAAGTCTTTGCAGATGAAATTATGATAAAATAATGCTGGATTAGGGTGAGTCCTAAATCCAGTATGACGGGTGCTCATTTAAGGAAAAGGACATTTAGATATGGGGGCACAGAAAGACAGAGAACAAAGATCATGGAAAGGCTGAGACAGAGATTGTAGTTGCTATAGTCCACAACCCAGGATCTCGGCCTGTTTTTTCTTTTCACTTTATCAAATTGAATGATCAAGATATTACACACTACTGTAATTGGTTAAAGTAACTCTTTCTTGAAAACTGTAATTGGTTAAACTAACTCATTCTTGAAAACTGCTCGTTTTTAAACAAAATTTTGTCAATAAACCTAAATTAATTCTGGTATTTGTATGATTAAAACAACTTAATAAGATAGCTATAATATCTAAGCACAGAATTGCAAATTATGTTAGGTATGTAAAATAATAAATGAAATGGTAGCACAGCATCCTTTTTATAATGGAAAACATGTGAAATAAAGCTTTTGAAGGCACTTCTGTGTTTGTTGCTTTTCATCTTGAGTTTCTTTATCCGTTCAGGCATTTGCAGTATAGCTTCAAAAGAGGTCATTGCTTGGAAGAAATGAAGATTTTTGGTTTTACCCTTTTTAGCCCCCTAGGAATACTAATATGAAATGCATTGGTAAAAATGGCACTGCTCAGAGAGACCATAAATATCTGAACAGAGCATATGTTTTCATAATATTAAATTATGCTACTTATTTTCAGAATGATAGGAATGCACAGCTCTACATAATAGTACATGTGGTTGTTTTTCCTCTTCATGAAAAACTTCTTTTGAAATCAGAGATAAAAGAAATAGAAGTCAAAGTGAACCCTGGCTATTATGGGAGGATTTTTATGCCTACAAGATGAAACCAGGAAATTCAATTAGAAAAATAGTGAGAAAATATTGTGCCAGGAAGGGAAGAGGAGGGAGGAGGGGAGAGAAACGTTTGTAAATTTAGAATCTCAGGGAAAGAGACTTGTTTAAAGTACTTTAATGAATCCATAATTAGTCTATATGTATTTTAATACTTATTACCAAAAGTGCAATTTGTAGGATACTTTGTAAATAAATATAATTAGACTGAGCTAAAATAACTTAATATACTGATTTTTGTGTTTGCTGTAGATTTGGGAATATCATTTGCTCTCCTCACTCCATCTTCTCTGAAGAGTTTTGAGAATAAAGAAGTAGATTAGTCTTCAAATTAAAAACTGTTAATCAACACCATGGATATTAGGAAAACATGCCCTGAAAAAGAATTACGTCTTCCAACTGACAGGATCTGATATAATCTGTCTGAACTGACATTTTACAGAGGAAATGTGTCAATCTGAAGTCGTAGAGAAAAGTTGGTTAAGTATATCTAGAAAAAAACAGAGTCACAAAGACAAACACTGTTAACATTCATGATAGCAATGTCCAGGGAAAACACTTGGCCCACAAACTTAAATAGTTTTTTGTTGAGTAGGTTTACAAATTTATTTATACTGAGAGAAATAAAATATAGCTTCTTTAAACAAAATTAACTGGTGGAATTTTCCTCATGAAACTCTATATTGCTGAATAATATGCATAGGGGGGTGACAACCAAAGATTTAACTCCACATTGGTTGTAATTCAGAGTAATGTAATAATGAAAGTACTTTTAGAAAAATTCTTAGTCCTAAAGTTCTACCCTTTCCCCCATTCCTTTTCTAGTTGGTCATGTTGGGGTATTTATAATATGTGCCCTTTTGGTGATGAAGGGCAGAAAGGATTTTATGTTTTTATGGCATCTTCTGGGATCTTTCTGATCTCTGCCAGGTGTAACTAGTCTGGATTACTACTTGACTGATGACAGCTAGACCTAACTCTGTGTCAAGTCACTTCTCAGGTATTTCCCAGCTGAGGCACAGTCACCTCCATAACCCAATCTGCTATTAATAGTTTCTTAGATTTTGCCTTGGGATTTCCCTCTGTTTTGCTATAGGAAACTCCCTAGGGCACATCCATAGACTCTAACTCACTATCTTCACATGACACATGGGAACCTCTGGGTTTCTGTACACCATGCCACAGGGGAACCAAAGGAGGCCTGGTCTTTGTCAAAGATAGCCCTTTCTAGGTTTGCTTAGGGATAGTCTATAAGACAATTGACTTCTAGAACTCTAAATTTTTATCAAACTTTTTAACATAGTGCCCGTTTTGGGGATTTTGGCAGTGAAGAAGTATATGTCATATGCCTGAGTATCAGGACTGAAACCTTATCACCACCTTCTGCTTGCTATTTGGTCAACATCTATCTCTCTAAAATAAAGCTCCTTTATGAAGACCATTAAGCCTGCAATCTCATTTCAAAATAGCAGATAAAGGAATTTATGACATTTTTTTTCCTCTAACAAAGGTGAACTTCCAAGCCTATTGTCATATTGCTGAGAAAAGTGGATTATCTTTTTTTCCCCCTCTTTATTTTCTTGCTGTGACAAGCTGTTAATCCTCTCTCTGTCCCCCATTTAGGTAGCAGAGACCTTAGACAGACTAGCGGGGATGTCTATGGACAGAAATGTAAAGGTGAAAACCACATTTAAATAATTTGAATAGTATTACCCTCCTTAGAACAATTGAGAACATCCCAATTGAGATAATTTCAGTAAGCTATTAGAGGGTCAGGAGTGTTTGGTGATATTTGTCATAAGTTTCAGAAACAGGCAAGGAAGAGGAGGAATATCTGTTGCATATTTTTACCCTTGATATAGTTTATAAATAATTTCACCACAAATTTGATTTCTTCTGAAATCTCAAGAGGTTTGATATGCCTGTTCTGAGAAATATTTTCTAAAGCTGAAAGTGTTCTTAAGCACTCAATTAGGTTGTATCTTCACAGTATGTCTAACTCTGTCTATGGGGAAGCTGGGGTGATAGGAGGGCATTTTTTATGTCATATTTTTTTCTTTTTTTAACCATTAACTCTCTTATATTATTTGAGTTTATCAAAGCAATTTTGGAAACATCTTTCAGCATCGAATTCAGTGTTTATATCACTGTGTTTCTGTATTTCCCTGAATCAATTTTTATTCTTTTTCTCTTCCGTATGGTACTCTATTTTCTATCTCCTTCAAAGGTAATCAAGTTGCAATGGACAACAGATAAATTATTCGGATGATGAAACCTGTCAAATTCTCAGTGTGGTTTTTATATAGTTCACATTTTGAGAGTAAAGTGTAGGTCCTCAGCCCTCAGTTAAGTGTTGGCTTCAATTCTGACTTTGGCAGCCCCAAAGCTTTGTTTTTATGGATTCCAAAAGTGAGAAGGGAATAGAAATGCAATTCTAGGCCTTGGCATATTGTCCTTATGTTTTATAGATCTCAAAAATCATGCAACCAGATTTAAGGATGACCTCTCCAAAGTCACCTCATGTTGTGCTCCTGCTTTCTCACTTCCTTCAGCCTCGTTGGCCTCATTTGCATTCTCTGAGGCTTTTGCAACTCCGTCTCCTCTGCCAGGAACATGGCTACCTGGGTTTTGGTATGATTTGTTCAGTCAAAATGTTTTCTCTTCAGACAGGTCTTCCTGAGATTCTCTAACCTATCTGTATAGCTGTGTCCCTGTGGCAGATGGGGTTGTGCTGATGAAGTACCACAGACTGCACAGCTCAAACAACAGAAATGCATTTTCCACAGTTGTAGAGCCTGGAAGTCATGGTATTGTCAGAGTTGGTTTCTTCTGAGGCCTGCAGATGATCGTCTTCTCCCTATGTCTTTACATGGTCTTCTTTCTTTGTGTGTCTGTGTCTTAATTTCCTTGTCTTATAAGGACACCAGTAGCATAGGTTTAAAGGACACTTTAAGGACTTCATTTTAACTTAAGTATCTCTTAAAGACCTAATCTATAAATAATCATATTCCAAGGAGGGGGTTGGATTTCAACACAGGAATTTTGGAAAGATGTAATTTAGCCCATAATATTTCTCTGTATTAATATGATTTATTTGTTTATGTACTTCCTTTTATTTTTCTTCTACACTGGAAATGAAGCACCATGAAGTCAGGGTTTTAATTATGTTTTTCCACATTCTCACATTACCACCTAGACTAGTGCCTGCCTCAGAGTACAGGCCAATGATCTGTATTTTTAAACTAAGTTATTTAATTAAATAGAAATATGATATATAACTTCCCCCAAATTCTAAAGATTTGTTTATTACTAGCTAAAATTCTTCTGCTGTATCCTTCATTTTGCAAATATAAAATATAAAATTATGAAAATTATGTACAGTTTAGAAATTTTTTGTTCCAAACTCACGATCGATCTGAGATAAGAGGATAATGCTTGAGTAATACGTCCCTGTCTCCTTTTTTGGAATGTTTTCTGTGTAATTTAACACTAGTACAGATTTCTAGAGTCAGTCAGATTTTCTTGCCACACCAGTAAGGCATAAAAGTTGATTCTCACTTATTTTAACAGGACATTTTCACTCCTGAAGTGTCTTTCCTATTAAATGACTTTGCAGTTATTCCTTTAGGCTAAAACACTATTAACATTACTTTACCATATTTAAGTTTTCCCTGAATGAATTTAAAATTCTCTCATTACATTCACTGGCTATATTTCTGATGTACAGCACCATACTACCTAAATGATTTGTTGTTGTTGTTAATTGCATGTTCTGATAATGGATTTTATTGGAGACCCCTGCTTCTTGAACACAGGATAAGAAATCCAGTTGGGCTCGGTGGCTCAGCCTGTAATCCAAGCATTTTGGGAGACCAAGGCGAGTGGATTGCCTGAGCCCGCGAGTTCAAGACCAGCCCGGGAAGCTTGGTGAGACCTCATCTCTACAATAAAATCAAAAAATTAGCTGTGCGTAGTAGTGTGCACCTGTAGTTTTTACTACTTGGAAGGCTGAGGGGGAAGGATCACCAGAGCCCAGCACGTCGACTCTGGAGTGACTGTGAGTGTGCCACCACACTCCAGCCTGAGTGATGGAGTGAGACTCCAACTCAAAATACAAACAAACAGAAAAAGAAATCCCAACACATTTTTATATCCTAGGATTCTTTACTTGGGGATATATATATATGGAAATTTATTGTAAGTTGTTTTCTAGGTCTCCCCAGAGGCCAAGCTAAAACTTTGTGACCTAAGAACACACAGTTAGCATAAACTATCAGGCATAGCCCAAGGTCCCAGATAATGAAGACATTCTTTCCAGGCAGAATATTCCAAGGGCTTATGAGTACTTCCTAGGAGCTGATCAAGGGCCAAGCTTTTCTTCGAAACCTGTAGGATTTAAATATCTCAAACCTCCTGAATCAACCCTCTTCCTGAAAAGGGCCAAATAGCAAATATTTTTGGCTTTACAGGATACATGGTCTCAATCACAGTTACTCAATAGTGTCATTATAGTGAAAAACATCCACAGACAATACATAAATGAATAAGTATGATTGAGTTCCAACAGAATTTTATTCACAAAAACAGGTGGAGGACCATATTTGGCCTACAAACTGTAGGCTGCCAAATCTTGGTCTAGGGTATGCAACATAAAATTAGATGCTGGAAAATGAAGTATTGGATTCCATTGCTTGGATAGTTTTGCTTTATCTTCATTTCTTTGCATGGAGACTAAAGATAAAATGTAACAAAGAATTGTTTCTAATTTAATAAATTTGAAGCCATATGCCTGTTACATAAATTCTAAATGATATTAACTGTTGCACAAATAAATTTTTGTGTTTCTTTTTAGAAAATAGAAAATTAATCTGAAATGAGGGTAAAAAGGGAATTATAGCAGGATGAAAAGTCAGATTATTCACAATAAAAGAGGATAGTGGAATTTTTAATTAATTTGGTAATATTGCTAAATATGTAATATGGCCTGCTTAATTCTTTGTAATAGTTTTCTTTCATGAGTTAATCAAGGTTTCAGACCAAGCATAACATATAAAAATTTGAAAATAAAAAGTTTTTCCCATTACTTGATTGAAGTTTTCAGATCATAAACCATACAAGAAACCATAGAAGAACACATCACCTTGGTTTTATTTTCTAGATGGAACTAAGAAAGAGCAATCTGAAACTACTTAATTGTTTCTTCAGTACAGAAGATGCCAATTCTGCAGATGAGAATCTGTGTCTAATAGAAACAGATTGATATAAGGAAATTAAAGCTCCGGGAAGATGACCAGGATTGGAATCCCAGCTTCTACTTTCAGTAGTGCCGAAACTTTGAGAATATTTCTTTTCTCTCTCAGCCTCAGTTTTTCCATCTGTAAACACATTATATTATTCTCATAAGTTTGTGAAAGAGGTTTTTTAAATCCGGTGTTACTATGGAAAGTACTTGGTTCATAGTAAAAGCTCAGTTGTTATTCTTATAACTAGATTCACTGAGTAACTTAATGTGTAGTAGGAATGGTGCTAAAATACCTTATATACATTTTTTCATTTAATTCTAACAACCCAATCATTGGCAGGCTCTATTGTTATTTTCATTTTACAGATGATAAAACAAGCTCCGCCAATTAGGAACTGAGCCAAGTAAAACAATCTATTTGTATAAGAGCTGTTAGTTGAGCATTTAGTTCTCTCTGCCTGACTCTGGAGTTCACGCTCTTAACCAGAGAAAATCGACAGCCTAGAGTAGTGTTATGACTTTAGAGAGTTATGTTATTTTTTTGCCCTATACAGTCTTTTAAAACGTACTAAATTTCACATAAAATTTAAATTTCTGGATTCTCTAGAACACTCTGAAGATTCTTGTGTGGCAGCAATCACCTAGGGCTGCATAGTAGTAGATATTCCCACTTAGGTGAGATAAGTGCTTTTCAGTTTATTTCCACTTCTCTTTATTGCTTGTGCTGACACTCTTAATTATTCCCTTATCTGCAAAAGAATTTTAGGAGCTATGCTCAATTAATGCCTCTCAGTTTCTTTCTCAGAGAAGTTAAATGATTATCTTAGAATAATAAGTTACAAACTCATAAGATATCAAATATACCCCACAAAGATGTGCAATTAAATATCAATAAAAATAAAATAAATCTTCCTAATATTAGAAAGGCAGGAGAAAAAATAATACACCAGTTATCAAAATATAGGAAAAGTAAAGGAAGGAATATATATTTACATAAATTTGATCCCTGGGGTGCTAACTCTCCTTTTGAACCACAAAGATGATGACTACAGATTTCAGTGCAGCAAATAGCTGGAAGGAAACTTTTACTTGTCCATCCTATCTAAGTAAGTTTTCCAGATATTTTCTGTCAGTGAATCTTAGGTGTTTTCTTCTTGCCATTTAGCACATTTGCAATAATGCATGGCTTTTAAAAAATGTTATTGACTTTCTCTTATTAAGATAAAACCTTTGTGGTGGCAGGGATATTATCTGTTTTGTCTGATAAAAAATAAATAGTATAAATAAACTGGTTTTTTGTTGTTGTTTTTTGAGTTGAAGTCTCACTCTGTCACCCACACTGGAGTACAGTGACTTGCTCCCGGCCACTGCAGCCTTGACCGCTGGACTCAGGCGATCCTTCCGCCTCAGCCTTCCAAGTAGCCAGAACTATAGGCGCACGCTACCACGCCCGGCTAATATTTGATTTATTGTAGAGGTGAGGTTTCGTCAACTTCCGGGGAGAGTCTCCAACACATGAGCTCAGGCAATCCACTCGCCTCAGCCTCCCAAAGTGCTTGGATTACAGACTGAGCGACCGAACCCACCTATAAACTGTTATTTTATGTATGACAAGTGCTAAAACAAGTGGAAGCTTATTGAAAATATTATTTTAGGAAATAAACTGACTATACATGATCCTGTTAGATGTCTCATATTGGCAGAATTCCTATTGGACATAAAATATCTCACTGTGAAGAAAATATAGCCGATGGCAGGGTGAGACGACATGTCTTTTGCCTTCCACAAGGATTTTTCCCTCGTTTCAGGATTCAGAGGTATGAACCACTTGTTGTGCCTGTGGCCAATTGCATGAATTTTGTGAGATATTTTCATACAGGAGAGACTGAGGTAGTACAGAAGTTTATAACATTTTTTTCTAGTCTTTTTATCTCCTTAAATCTATAATCATTCAGTTCTCCTCATGGGCCTCTGATCTCAGAACTGCTATTCATTTTATTATTTATTATTATTATAATTTATTCTTAATAATAGGTGTTACAATAACTTTTTCAGGTATCTGTTTCTCCATTCTGGTCATTTATTCAATGATATTAAACACCTCTGATGTACTTAACATGATACTAGGCAATAGGAATGTCTGTGGGAATAAGGTCTGCTCAGTTCTTCCAGGAGCTTGCAGATTGTAGGAGAAAAAGATAAAAAACAAAGTGCAAAAGGTTATGTAGATAGGGCAGGTATGGAATGGTTACTTATACGTGTAGATTTACTGAGGAAACAAGAAAGTTTTTATAGATTCATACAAGAAGTGGCCAAATCAAGCTCTTTTTTTCTGTTCCTCTTTAACCCTGGGCTTGGCTCTTCTCTCTTTCTTTATTATTCAATTTTCCTTTCCTTTTTTTCACTTGATTAAAATGACTTTTGGGTGTACAAAGCATTGCTAGAATCTAATGAACATCATTCTTGTTTAAAAACATTCTAAATAAAAACAGAAGATAAACGCATATCTGTTTTCACCATTTCACTTAAATAAAAAGGATAATTCCTTTGACCTTTAAAGATAACAGGATTTCCATAAAGTTTCTTTGATCTCGGGGATTTCTTATTCCTATATTATTAACTCCCGCAATAAAAGTTTATTGTTTTTTTTTCCCCTAGTCACTGCAACTTGCTTTGTTTTAACATCTATTGCAACAACACACAGGACATGAAGCAGTAATAGGTGGACAAAGACAGACTCTTTTTGTTGCTTTCTTCTTTTTTTTAATCTATAAATGCATTTTATTGTACACTAGAAAAACAAGTATATTTCTAAACATGTGACTTTATGAGTAGAAGTGTGTACAGCCTGATTAATGTGGATTATTAAGTAAGCAATGGAAAAACAGATGGTAAGGGAATAACAACAGAAGTAGTATATGAAAATGAAAAAATTGTGATGGAGGATCTTAGATGAGTAAAATTGTAAAATTCCTGGACTAGATGCTTTTTATGGTCACTTTGAACTTCACTATTAAATGCTTTTCTTAAATCTCTTTTTTTATCAGAAGACTGAAACCTCACAGAGCCTGACGTATACATATCATGTGTCACAAAAACCTCGCCTAGAAATCTTCCAAGGAAGTTCAAAACTTTACCTGAGCTACACATAAATCCCGAGGAATAATGAACACAGCCCTAAGGACATGCATTTATTCCTATGGGATGGGTGAGCGCCGTAGGTGACTGAAAGTGAACTGCAATGGCTGCGGATAATGATTCCTTAAAGTGATACTGAGGATCCTAGGGTTTGAAACTAACTCTTACCACAAAACTAAACTTTTCAGTACAGATTATACTACAGGAAATACAAAATCACCTTTCTATTCATCCTGTTAAAAATGGTTTACAAATATGAAGAGATTTTCAAAGAATAAATAACAAAAAGACATAAGAAAAGCATAGAATTGTATAACAAGTCAATTAACAAAAATCTTACGTGTGTAGATTTT